TTTGCAGCTGACTGACAGATTCAATCCAGTCTTTAAACTCGCCGTGGGTGGCAATCTTACACCGATGTCCATCAGCCATCAGGCCTTTTGCTAGAGCGATATACGGCTGGACATCGCCACGGGACCCTATTGTAAGAAATGTAAAATGTAACGATTCGGCTGGTTTGAATGTCAAGAACGTTGACGAAGCCGATGTGAACATAACAGCAGGCAGAGAGTCGCCTAGAGTATCGGAAGCAGACGCCGGAGCAGGATCGCATTCATTGGCAGTAGCATCAAACTCTTCCAGGATCAACGCCTGACGTTTTCCCGGAGAAGTCGGGTTCGTTTCGCCCTGTGCCAATCGCTTCCTGACGTCTTCAACTTGACGATCTAACAACCTGATAAAGGCATCACGCTTGTCTTCAGCATTAAATTCAAAGAAGAGCTCTTCATGGCCTTTAATGATAACGATGAGACCATGATGGCCGAAACGGGTAGCCTTGGATTTCTCAGTGGCTAAGATATCGCGAATTGGCAACGTCATCTAGCAACACTTCTGAGTCAAATTTCTGAGAACGTAAGAAATCCCTAACCCTAGTTCGAAAAGCCAAAGGTCCGCTAGACTTGAAACAGAAAAAATTGGTAGAAATGTACAGTCTACCGAAGACTGGCAGGAGTCTATATAGATACCCAGGGAAATCTGGAGGACATGCGATTGAGTGACGACAGTGAATTCAAGAGGTGTACTTACATCCAAGTAAAGTCTCTTTCTCATCATATGCAAATGCAGTACGGAATTTCTCCGTGGTCTCAATGTCCACCGGAATGTTGGGTGTTTCCAAGATGCTGAACGCCAAGTCGCCCATGATTGAACGGCTAGTTGGAAATGACGGCGACAACGTTGTTGACGAATACATTTCTTTGACACCAGCGGAAGTAGTGGTCATCGTTTGGTCGCTTGGGGTTGAACCACCGAACACGCGTCGCGTACCTTTGAGCCAAGAGGGAACGCCGACCCAGGAGCTACTCTCTCTGCTCAACGAAGGATGATTAGGATCAATGTATGAATTGGAAGTAGAGGGTGGGTACGTGTGTTCATTCGCCGAGGTAAGCAACGATTTGCTAGTTTGTTCACTACCTGTTTCTGGAAGACCCTCTATGGATTTCGGTGAGGTAGTGATCGGAACAAAGGACGACGAATTTGGGCGCCGTGAGACATGGGTAAAATCTTCTGTTTCGGTAGAGGTTTCGGGTACGCTGGCTTGGGTTGCTCGAAGAGGTCTTAGTAGTGACGATAGGCGGAAGACAGAACTTGACTTTGAAACGTTGCTTTCTGAAGATAATAGACTTGTAGTTCGATCGGAGTTGACATAAGGCCGCGATTGCGTTGTATCAAGAACAGTTGCAGGAATATTTGGCCGGTCAGGTTGATTTCGATGATCGCGAACGGCATCTCGTATATGTTCGAGGGCTCCAGGTAAGTCATGGAAATAGGCAAAAAAGTAGGAATCAATGGAAGAGTCTTCATCCTTGTCAAACACCTTGACTTCAATGGTTTCGCTAAAGTCCATCGCAGTCGATTTATCGACGTCAAGGATGAGGGAGTAGGGGATGGCAATCTAATTGCAAAATGTACAAAAATACTAAGTGATAAGAAGTCAATGAATGAAAATAAAAGACCTTGACAGAGTCGCCCATATTCTGAGCTTTGAAAATGACCTTGCGAATAGCTTTCACCCATTCTTCACGGCTGGGTACTGAATCTGCATACAAAACCACTGTCTTCTGGTTCGTACGAATCCGGAAACTTTTGTCGCCTTCGGCTTCGCAAGAGATGGCATAACGCAAATCCACAATGCCGTGAGGAAAGTAAGGATCCTATAGAGGTTATGCGAGTATTGAGTTATTTTCATGACTCGAAGCTTATCTCTTACTGAAGACGACTGGTACCATGAGAGAGCATCGTTCTTTAGGACGAACCAATGTTTTATCCAACGCTTTGTCCTTTGTGCCTTCTTGTTGAGTGACCCCGATTTGAGTACTTGATCCTGGTATGACTGTAATCAGGAGAAGACCAATTTTTGGAAGGTAAACGGACCTCTCGCGATGGCATATGTGCGAAAAAGCAGAGATACGAGTTGGTCAAGTACATATAACCTTGCAATACTGTGGTGCGAGATCAGTGTGACCGTGCAATAGTAGAACGTTGTGATCACTTACATATGGACCTCAGCAGCCAACAAGGCATTTCTAACAACCATCAGAGATGATGATACAGAAATGATCAAGTTGTCAATCAAACCTGCTCGAACTTGCTCAATTGCATCCAGTTCAAATACTTCCTTTAGCTTTTGCGCTAAGCCTGCTCGCCGCTGGAGCCGGATGGTACCCATACTGCCAGCACGAGACGGAACTATTCTTATGTGAGGACATGGACCTGCTCGACTCGTCTGCTTATCTGAGGGAATTATCGATTTTGTTGGAGGGGGAGGGCTGGGGAAGGGGGAACTTGGGAGACGTGGAGTCTCTTCAAAGTCCTCAGGTTCTCGCTCCCCTTCCGAACTTAGAGTCTCAGGTTCCTCAGTCACTTCATCTACGAGACCATATGAAGAACTCGAAGCATACTCCTGCGTTGGATGAGTTATACTCAATTTCTTGGACCGTGCCAAAGGACGGTGAATGGTGTGGATGGAAGAAGCTAGATGTACTAAAATTGTAAAGGAGGGGTAAGAATACTACAGTATTATGATAAGAATGGCTACTTACGTTGTCCTGATCCCTCCTCTTCGTCGCTTGAGCTTGCATCAGGGCCCTCTATATCTTCATCATCAACTTCAGCCCATGGAAGAGCTTGGAGTGCTTGAATGAGGGTCTGCGTTCCCGCTCGCATCTATTATTCCAAATGATCCTGTGAACCAACAGCTGTATACAATGTGTAAGATTACGTACCGACCCATCCCCGCGGAAAGGACTCAATGGCGGTCGGGTGGGCGGCGGAGATGGAGGTGTAATGAAAGGAGAATCGTCGTTGGAAGTCCCACTTTTTGTGGCCGGTTTAACGGGCACTGGGGTAGTGAAGAAAGGAAAGCCTTCGCGAGGTGTGACGCCGGAGGTTGACGCACTGGCTGATTTTGGCAAGGTGGAACGTGAGACACTTGGGGTCAAAGTCGAAACTAGAGACAACGAATCTGGTAGCACGTTGGTCGAAAATGGCGCACCCTCGGGATCTGCAGAGTTGTCTTTGGGCTTTCCCTTGCGACTGAGGCTGAACAGGCGGCGGCGGCCCGCCGGTGGTGGGGTAGGGGGACTAGTGGGACCACTTCTGGCAGTGATGCTACGACTGAGCCTATCGACGGATTTCTCGACTGCGGCAGAGAGTCGCTTGACGCGACTTGGTGTCGATGGGACTTGCTTGGGAGAGGACTGTTGGAGCCCCAGAGCCTCGGGGGAAGTGTCGATGGTGGGGGCGACGGCAGATATGTGGAAAAGAGACTGTAGGTTTGTGAGATTGCTCATTGCTGAGCATGTCCCAGCTGGAGGCGGAGAGAGTGAGCGTAATTGCTGCGTGCCACCGAAATAGCAATCGGCAGCCGCCGATCGTGGGATTCCATGTTCCAACACGTTCTGGTCGCGTGTTCGCGAACAGGCTCCGTTCAAAAACGCAGCTCGTGTCATTCGACCGCACCTGCTTGCTTCTCGTCTGTCCCTCTTGAACAGCTGCCCGTCTGCCACAGATGCGCGGGGAACTATGTGTCTCTACGGCCACACTCCTGTCGTATGTTCAACTCTTCCGATCGTAGTTTATAACGACACCGATCGCTTTCCAGGTTGGCCGCAGTGCTGCTTATGATCTTTGTACATGTGCGTATTCTTCTATCTTTTCGAACTCCACAGTTCTTGACTCTAACTCAAGGTTGGTCAAATTAATACTTCTACGGTCCCTCGGAACATCGCAATGGTACATCGTACTTCTCTGCCCATTGTAAAAACCTAGCTTATCTTCTACAGGCTAGAGTCAACGTCTCACAGTATAGGTCAGTCAAACCCATCGTCATGTACCCAACGTGCCTGATCTTTTTCGCATCAGCTCTGCCCTTGAACTCTCCTTCACCGATCCATTCAACAGTATATACGCAACTAATGCCAGCGCCCCTCTCGGAGTCCAGGCCGGTTTACGATACTTTTACAACTTCGGCCTCTACTCCCATTGCGCTTACTTGAATGATTCCCAAGGAATATGTGGCAATATGACCGTTGGCAGGCAATACCGGCCTTATGACGCCATAACATCCGACATGGCAGCAAACTACTCCAGAATAACACAGGCTCTTGTACAGGGTACAACTTTCATGGACTCATCCTATCTCGGGAACGCTACCAAGGCTGCCTACTGGATGCTGTTACTCGGTACAGTCTGTGCTCTATTGGCAGCACTAATGTCAGTCTTCATACTAGACCGGTAACTATAACTAACTTTCTCCCAGTGGTTTCTCCAAGAGTCATTTTTCGTTCTTCTTCTCAACGATTTTCGCTGTTGCTGGTAGCATCCTGCTCCTTATTGGAACGAGTATATGGACCATCATGATCAAGAAGTCGGACGCAGTTAATGACCTTTTAATTGGAGACCAGGCAGATGCAGTTCCTATCGGAATTATTGTTACATTAGGGTCTGGTTTATATTTGTCTTGGGCAGCATTGGTATGTCTGGTGGTTTCGGTTGTCCCCTACATGATAAGGTGGGTTAATATGCATTGCTTCTAAGTGTTTGATTAAACGTGTTGTCCAGCTGCTGCACTTGGAAAGGATAACGCCGACATGTTACAGCCGATGCCGGCCATCGACAACGAAAAGAATGAGCGTGAAATCTTTATCTAACGACTTTATAGGACAAACTATGTATACCTAGGATACTTATATACTGACTTTTAGAATACGTGAATAACGATGACTCCTGATTTTTCCCTCAGATGACGTCATTGCTGATGGAAGGAGTAAAATGAAAGAAAACAAAAACTTATAGCCCACCGCGAGGGTCGAACTCGCAGCCTTCAGATCACAAAGGTCCAACCCGCCTAAGAGTCTGACGCTCTATCCGATTGAGCTAGGCGGGCGCTGTATTTGGTAAACAAAGAAGGAGCAGTACCATTACGTAAGTCGAAGTCACTAGTGTGTACAGGTTTGTGCGTCAACATCTCCCACAAACAGGACTTTCTTGACCGCGGCCGTCGCAGCCGCCGCAGCTTTCGTTTTCTCCCCTTCCCCTTTCCCACCCACAATACCCTAATCTTTTTCCTCTCGTTTCTTGAAATACTACCCCACACATGCGCTTTAACTTCAGGGATGCTGCCTTGCTTGCAGTGTTCGCCTCCCTTACCCCTTCCGTACAGGCCATTACTCAAGTAACTCGGTCTGGAAGATACCTCTATAACGAGGACGGCAGTCGTTTCTATGTCAAAGGAATCGCATATCAAGATCAGGGTGGGCATCTTATTTCTCTCCAAGTAATGTTTCGAATCATACACAACTTTACTCCAGGTGCTGTCGTCCAGAGCGAAGACAATAACTTTGGAGAACCTTCGACTTTCATCGATCCATTGGCTTTACCAGACTCCTGCTCCCGTGATCTACCATTTCTACAACAGCTCGGTGTTAATACCATCCGTGTATACAGCGTGAATTCTTCTCTCAATCACGATGCATGCATGTCGACCTTTAGCAACGCTGGAATTTATGCAATGTGATTGCCTCATGCTTGACTATTCTTGATTTCAACTCAAAATTTCGTGACAGCATTGATCTTGCGCTACCTCTGAATGGCTCTATTGATCGAAATTCGCCCTCGTGGACGACCAGTCTGATGGACCAATACCTCACGACCATTGACGTCTTCAGTAAATACGATAATGTTTTGGCATTCAACGTCGGTAACGAGGTGGTCGTACAAAACGGGACCGCTGTCGCGCCGTATGTCAAAGCAGCCGCTCGTGATGTAAAGGCGTATCTGTGCGTTACCTAGCATCTTCCGTTGACAGCCCGACAATTGATCCTCCAAAATTATCAGAAAATCAAAATCTTCGACTGTTCTTGTGGGCTATACTGCTATCAATGGTCCTACGGGATTCCGTGACCCTCTCGCGAATTACCTTTCATGCGATCCATCCAACACCAACTCAGACTCGACCGCTATCGATCTTTTCGGTCTCAATGATTAGTATGCTCTCCTGTTGTTAGGTTAACTTTCAAGTGCTCACAGCTGACACAGCTCTTGGTGTGGTAACTCATCCTTTGAGGCTGCGTATGCCCAAACATTTGGTGAATTCGCTGGTTACAATGTCGTTGCATACCTCAGTGAATTCGGATGTATTACCAGTCCCCCGCGCCTTTGGACTGAGGTCGATGCTATCTTCAGCTCCCAGATGTCTCCCGTCTGGTCGGGTGGTGTAGCCTTTTCTTACTTCCCTGCAAGTAGCGCTCAAGGTCAATTTGGCATGGTGAACATTTCTTCAGATGGTTCAACTGTGATCACTGGCGACGACTTTGATCGGCTGAAAACGCACTACAATGAGGCCTCTGGCCCAAATTCCCCGTCGAAGGGGAGCTCCACAAGCACCTACCCTAGTTGCCCCACCGCCAACAGCTCTTTCGTTGCATCGACTACTCTTCCACCTACTCCAAACGAATCTGCATGCGACTGCCTCTTGAACACTCTCAGTTGTAGGTTCCAACCAGCGACCAGTAACTACTCTGCAATCGTTGGTCAACTTTTGGACACTGCTTGCGGCTTTGTCGGCCAGAAAGGTGGAACCTGCGACGACATCGGTGGTAATGGACAGACCGGAGTCTATGGTCGCCTGTCTGGTTGCGACCCGAGTAAGTCTTCAGCTGATCAATCTCCTACATCGTACTGACACTCCGAACAGCCATCAAGTTGTCCTTTGTGATGAGCGACTTTTATCAACTCAGCGATCGCAACCCCGCGGCGTGTAACTTCGCTGGCAATGCCACTGTCAACCCATCTGCCCCTGCTACTGCCTCCGCCGCCGATGCAGCTGCAAGCTCGTGCCTTTCTAATGCCGCTGCAACTTTCGTTCCATCTGCTCCTCCAAGTGCAAGCACTGGTGGAAACTCAAACACTGGATCCTCGACATCTTCCGGGTCGACATCCAGCAAAGGCAATAATGGTGCTGCCAGCCTCATCGGGGATAGCAATGCACTTTCGGGCATGACTGTGATGATCCTTGTCAGCGTGGCCAGCGCTTTGTGGACCCTCGCTTAAGTGCCAAACTCAAGATATTCGATTGCTGATTGCCAGTTTCTTCCTTAATTTCTGAGACTGTCATGCTCTTGGATGACTCACCGGACAGCAGCTGGAAAACACTTTGCTATGCAATACTACCATTATGTTATTACCCATCTGTAGTGTATTCGTTTGGACTCTTGGAGTGCTCATATCTTTAAATACCACTATGCTCCTCTCGCGAAGTTTGGAAAATGCACGGACCCCAAAAGCGGAGCTTTAAAAAAATGATTTGCCTGTCTCAATAGTTTGTTGAACATTCCACTGTGCCACCACCTCCTCTGTGAACGTCCATCCTCGTTATGGCTCCCACAACCAACGACGTCGACCAACCTCCGCACCAGCAGGATAATTGGGGCCCGCAAGATGAACAATCTATGGGCCCGGGCGGCGGAGTTGAGCCTCCGAATGGAGCGTCTTTACCTGCTGACGACGACCGCGCTCTGGGTCAAGGTCCCGAAAACCCAGATTACCCCCGCGGATCCAGCGCAGGTGCAGTTAGCGCTACTGAAGGCAAAGAAATCACTTTCCGTGAGAAGCAAGTCAAGGTGCTTAGGTCTCTTCTTGTCTCTTCATGTCTCTTCTGCGACATTTTCCCCTGCCTCGCTCATTACCACGCGTGGTATTCGACGCCGAGCTAGTGCTTTGTCCAGTACTACTATTAATTATTCTTAGCTTGGTTGGCTTCGGATTTCCACTGTTGCTTTCGTACTATCGGAGGCTTACTCTGGCTCGGGGCTGATTGCAACTTCTCCTGCCGTTTCCTTGTGTGTGTATTCTCGACTGGGTGTTTACCTTCTGCTGTCCAGCCGAACAAAGTCTATATCGGTGGTCTACCCGAACACACTCAACAAGAGGATCTTCAAAGTTGTTTCGGGAAAATTGGCAATATTGTGAACATTGAACTAAAGTGGGCGATTTGCTATCTCATCATTCTCCATATTAATCGCTCGTTTCCAGAGTCGGATATGGCTTCGTTGTACGCCTTTTGCTTTTTTTGGACTAGCCTATGACTCACGTTCGTTTAGGAATTCGACACACGGGAGGCGGCTGAGGAAAGTGTGGCAAAATACCACGAAGGTTACTTCATGGGGAACAAGATACGCGTTGAATTGTCCAGAGGTGGTGGCCGCACTGCCAAGTATACTGGAGATCCCGGTGCTTGCTTCAAGTGTGGACAAATGGGTCACTGGGCAAGGTTTGTAGTTGCTCTTTCAGGTCCTCTGGTTCAATCTTATAATTGCCATTTCCTCTGTAGAGAGTGTCCCAACCACACCGGCCTGTGAGTTTTTGTCGTTCTTTATTTTCTTCCTGTTTTCATTACAGTACCAACAGAATAGCTCCCAGACGCCCGTACGAATCTCCATTACCTGATCGCGCTCACCTTGACCACCCTATTCTACAGAAATATGTCACAGCGCGAAGACATACCAATGGGACGCCCTCGGGATGCCCGATATGACTATCCGCCGCCTCGCGACTACCGTCGGCCACCCTCTCCAAGAGATTATCGGGACTATCCTGCAGCGCCTCCCGGTGCTCGCGGGCGGGAGTATGACGACTATCGGCGTGGACCTCCTATGCCTGATCGCGAGAGATATCCACCACCTGCAGAATACAGAGGTCGCTATCCTCCCCCTCCTGATGCAAATTACCGCGGCTACGGTGGTCCTCTACCTCCACCACCCCCTCCTTACTATGATCGTTACGAAAGAAGATCTGGTGGTGAGAGATTCCCTCCTGGATACATGTCCAGTGGGAGCGGCCGGCCGAGGACTCCCCCAAGGTACAGGGAAGATTTTGAGAGAATCCCTCCCAATAGGTGAGAGCATGTGCTTTTTTGATTGAACCTGTTATTGAAGGAAGCCTGCACAGGGAGTTTGATTATCGAGGTCGTCCCCCAACACCTCCACCAGCTAGGTACGATGAATATCGTGGAGTTCCTCTAGACCAACCTGCCCCTGGAAGATACAAGTGAGATCCTATCCGGCGTTGAGTTTTCCTTGACTGAGATTTGGTTAGGCGTCGGTCGGAAAGCCCTCCACGCTCTTATGATCATCCTTACCCTGTTGGAACAGCTTATGGCAACAACTATCCTAGTGCTGCGCCTGGTGGACCACATCCATCTGGTGCTCCTCCACGCTCCGGTCCTCCTCAACGAGACTACATTCCTCCCCGTAATGGACTGGAACCTAATGCTGGTTACAGAAGACACTAGGGATAAAAATTCTGTGGCTCTTGCCGTGAGTATCTAACGATCTGGCTCCTGACGCCAGTATGCTACATGTGTTGTCGCTGCCCCTCGTCAAATTGTTTAGTACTTTGGTTTAGTTTTGAATGCACTGTCTGTTGTCTTGATCATCTACCTTCCCACCATTTCAATCGGTGTTAGAGTCCCTATCTTAATTTATGTCCTGAATGAAATTCAATAAATAATAATTCAGAATTCTAGGCTTGTATAACTGATGGGACTAAGCCTTTCCCTCTGCCATTGCATACAGCAAATCCTTATCTCCAGATTCATCAACGAGCGCCTTAAGTTTACCATCAGGGATTTTGAGCAACTCTTTGGGGCTGTCGAATTCGACCTTGAATTTGGTAAGTTAGGATGGTATCCGAAGTACAAAGGTTGGAGGACCTACAATTCGCCCGGCGTCGAGCACAAGCTAAGAATGTGTTAATTGATGTCAGTATGAAACATAAATCGAATAAACTAACGATCTTATCAGCATCCATGATTGTCTGGAGTCGATGAGCGATGGTAATGAGCGTCACATCGCCACGTAGTTCTTTCCGAAGGGAGGTTTGGATGAT